ATCTAGTGACAACTTGGAATCATATAGGTTTTTATAGAATTTTTCACAAAACTTATAAATCTTCTTTGGGTCTTGTGTGATGTTTCCATCAATTCTTAGTTTAACCATGCAGTTATAATTATTGTGCCGTTTTTCTAACTTGAAAAAGTAACTGGAGTTTTGTTTGCCTTCTTCAAGCCATCTCCTTCTAGAACACACAAAAGCCCCTTTTGCTTTGTGAATGTATATGTTGTCTAATTTTAATTGTAAAATTTGAAGTCTATTTCTATTGTCTTCAGTTAAGTTCTCAGGTAATTGAGATGACAATGTTATAATTTCAGATATTAGTTCTGATTCTTCCTTTTTTCTGTTTTTAACCATCTCAGCTCCTCTTTTCATTATAAGAGACCGTAATTCAAACTTAAGAAACTCCCAATTTTTACCATACACATTTTCAGCACATGCATTTTCCCAGCATTCACATATTTTCGTTTTAATCTCATTTACCAAAGATTCATCTAATAAAAGAGTGTTATTTAGTTTCCAGTATGAGTTAACTCTCTTTGATTGATGGCTGGTAGACATATTTAACTCTATAAAGATCGATTTATGGTCTGTCAAGGGTGTTGGTAACATTTTAACTGTCGATATGTACTCAGATAAAGAATCAGATACTAACCAGTAATCAATACGTGACTGTAATGTGCCCTGTTTGTTTTTCCATGTGAATTCCTTAACAGCAGGGTTCTTGTATCTCCAAATATCAACCAAGTCTCTTTCATACATAAAATCCAACATATATGTATTATGATCATTACTTCTATTTGGCCATCTGTCTAAGTTATCATTTAAGGAACAATTCCAGTCTCCTCCAAAAATTATCTTTAGATTACCATTAAACAATCTAACCATTGTTTCCCCGTGCAAATATAAAGATTTCTGACATTAAAACATGGTTCTATAGGTCAAGATATGGTCAAGTTAAATCCACAAATCTGTGCTCACAACTTCGATTAACTATCAATCTTAGCATTTAAATCCTTCTTGATTATAACTTTGCCTTAAAATCGTTTAACGGGTAAAATTGAGACATATTATTGAATTTTAATATGAAATTTCAAAGATTACTCACTTGTGACACTGCTGTGCCACAGTCTGACCGGGGTCAGGGGGTACTCCGCGGGCCGGGGTCTGCCAGACGCCATCTATCGTCGAGATTCAGGATCCGCAGGTGTCCTCAGGTGTTGTTTCCTTCTCGTAAAACTCAGGTGTTTAAAATCCAAGCGAAGATTCAGGATCCGCAGGTGTCCTCAGGTGTTGTTTCCTTCTCGTAAAACTCAGGTGTTTAAAATCCAAACGAAGTTTATGCTTTTTCCAAAAATATCTCTTTCTCTCTCAGTGAAAAGTTGTGCAAGCCAGCCAAAGGTCCAGTTTGTTTTGAATCAAAAATATCAACACTTGCTGAATATATAAGGTTGCCGCCGGCGCGTCGCCGTTCTGTTACCATGGATGCTAGTGACACGCGAGCTTGAGCGATAATAGGCGGTCTGTTTAATAAAAATGCAATCAAATGTTGAACTCATGGCAAACTAATGATTCTTATTGAAGTTTATCATAGTTTTTCTGTTTTACTGAAATGTAGCCTTTGAAAATGAAGATCAAGTTTATTTCAGTGAAAACATTTTTTTATTCAACAGTTTGTTACCGGACCACACAGCAGATAAACAGAGAGAGTTTTGATATACTGAGCAAGATATACATTTATAAGGTATCGGAAGTTAGACTCTCATACTGAGACATTTTCCGTGCTCATCAATTTTCTTCCTCTATGATATTACTTTTTGTCACAGGTCAGCTTCTCAACCTTGTTGCCATGATTTCATGTTTCCTGCAGCATCTTCCAATATTCAGTTGAAACTGTTAGTAGCAGATCCCACCTGAGACACTTTTCTTGTCAGATATTCCATATCTCCTCAGAGAGCTTTGACAGAAAACTCACAATTGTGTTAACTTATATTAACAAGTCACTTTTGTGTACAAGATATGATCTGGTTGAAACCAGCTCATTATCTTTTGAGCTTTGAAATAATTATCTTGTGGGAATAAGTGGCAATATTTTAGTGCACAAAACATAAACTTGTAGTAACTGTGAAATTAATTAATTGCCCTTGGTGGATTAATAATTTGATTTTGGGGCCTTCTATTTCTGCCAATAATACTGTTTGTTGATCATTCACACACCTACTACAGTATAAATTTAATGCGCCTGATGTGTCTTCACACATTTAAGGGGGTGGCTTAGGTAATAACATAAATGATACCAATGCAACCATACAAATAATACCAATAAATGACTGATGACTGATGTTCAGGGTGCCACATATGGATTTTAATCTGAAAATGTAACACATTGAGGATGCTCAGTGCACATTGCACAACAAGAGGCACATAACGGTAGCGGAGCTTTGACATTTTGGCTGTAAGAATCCTAGGCCTACATCAGCACTAAAATGTTTTTACTTGATCGATAGATAGATCGATAGATAGATCGATAGATCGATAGATCGATAGATCGATAGATAGATAGATAAGAACCAAGGAAGAAGCTGCACTGGTTTATTAAGCTTAAGCTGAAAGTTTTCCTGAAGAATTTCTGGCCCTAAAAAATGGCAATGAGATTTCTACCCATAGTTGTCTTTTACCTCTTTCCCCCAAATATGACAAAAGTCTTGAGGTCAAAATAATAGGTGGAAGACTTAGAGTGAGGACCTTGGACCTAACATAATTCACCCCATAGTCCTTGACCTGGAGCATCCTCTCACACAGCTCCTGATCATGGATTATGACAGACAACTCTTTCACTCTGGACTGGCTAGAGTAGTTGGTGAAATACAGCATCAGTGCTCATGTATAGAGTGCAGGGAATGGTGAACAAAACCTGTCAACTCTAAAATGGCAGACCTTCCCTCCTGCAGGTGGAGGCTCTGGAGACCCCTGTTCTGGTCTACAGCAGTAGACTGTTTCAGTCCTCTGACCATTAAAGCAGGATGACGCGCTGAAAAACAATGGGGAATTTTGTTCAAGTGTATGACCACCTGATGCAGTCACATCAAACAGATAAACAGTCTCAATTCCGACAGATTTCCTCTGTCACTCAGACAGTTCATTGCTCAAAGAGCACAGCCATACGAGCTCCTTTCTGACTGTGGAATCAAAGGAGAAGAAAGAGAGTTAAGTCATGCATTTGCAGTCATGAACCCACACCTGAAAGAACACCTAAAGAAATCTCAAATACAATGCCACTCAAATCCTCCTGGAGGAATGTGGGAAAAGGAAGTACATTCAACTTCAACCTTATTTGTATGGCACTTCTCAGACAAAACAAAAACAAACAACAACAATTAAACAACAATAAAACCCGACCCATACACCCAAAGACACACACCTACCCTCACTCACTTATACACACACACACACACACACACACACACACACACACACACACACACACACACACACACACACACACACACAGTGAGAATTTAAAATAAATTGTTTAGGAAAGTAGGTAAAAAGAAGGACCATTAAAGCTGCTCTCAGAGTTACAGTGGGATGTCAGACTGTGGCTGCGGAAGTTTTGCACACAGCACTGGTGGAGATAGAAGGTATGATGAACTCTAAACCAATTGGTTATGCATCCTCAGACATGGCGGACCCCATGTATCCAAATGCCTTCCAATCAATCTTGCCTGAACCACACCCACCTGATCTTCTAAAACTCCACCCTGTAGGCATCAGTCTCCCTGTTTCCCTCCAAACCTCAGCAGGAGACAAAGAAACCAAGCGCATATCTAACCAAATCTGAGTTGTTTATTTGACCGGATGGATCAGTGCATTAATGATATAAAATCATCTGTATCCATCCATTAAACCTCTTCAGACCACACAGCAATGATACCTGTGAAATAGCTTTTGGTATCCAATATGCACTCCATCTTCACATGTTCAATATACAAACACCACCCCGGAATATGTTTTTTTTTTTTTTTTTCCACAGACCGTGAATGTGAATTTTGATCCAAAATATCAATTATTCAACACCATTTCTTCAAAATTAACTGTGTTGAAAGGTGGTGGTGGTGGTGGTGGTGTGTGTGTGTGTGTGTGTGGGGGGGGTTCTCTACACAACACCTTGTGAATTTTAGTTTCAACAGAAGTAAGAAGCGATATAATCTTGTCAGAAATGTAAATGAGTTGACTGAAATAGTTCACAAACTGAAAACCTCTTCAATTTGTAGGATATCAATATCAAGTTTAGTATTTAGAAAAGGGAAACTTAAAGTGAATAGCATCAGACACAAATAACAAAAAACACTTAATAGCCTGTGATAAGCAGAAAACTGTGAATTGGCTCTAACTTTGGCAACATGCGTCCTCTAGCGGTCTCACTATATAATTACAGTCATTTGGAATCAAGTTAGACTTATCTTGGTTATCTTATAACTTCCGGTTTACTTTAAATATAAAGTATTAAGAGATGACTGCACAATATCCGTCACAGATCATTGTCGTCGCATATTTCTCTATCTATCTATCGATCTATCTATCTATCTATCGAAAAATAAAGAGTGCACTGTACATTACTGGATAAAGCACTAAGAACACCAGAGTCCAACCAGAGTCAAGTCGTTTCCAGATGTAAAAAAATATATTATCATTTATGAGAGTGGATTAAAAATTACAGGCGACTGTTTAAAACGGGTAAATTATTTACAAAGTAGAACATTAAAATAAAATAAAAACGGATCCACGAGAATCCAGAGGTACTCCGACTGTTATAGTCAATAGTACTTTACGCGAAAGCTCACTTGTGCTTTAAGTCAGTGTTTAGTCTGTGTTTAATTTGTTCTTATCAATACACGGACAGCTTTTGGCATTCAGCAAATTGATTTAGTTTCGCGCTGTGACCGTTAGATGGCGGTACACCCTTGTTTTAGTTAGGAAAACCATAAAGTTCCCAGATGTCAAGTCACGATATCCTGCAAATACTTTCAAAATTAAAGTCAAAACCAAAGCCCTGCACTTGGAACAGAGGCTTTTCTGGAAATCGGAGTGATACATCTTGTTCTAATAGTTACTCTTTGGTAGGTCAGTCCGGAAGACTGGTGTCCGGCGATGATGCGCTAAAACGAGTAAGTTTATCGCTTAAAATTGGCCTTTGTGTGGCCCATTTACGTATCTTAAAGATAACTTTGTGTTCTTGATATATCGAATTTTGACTGAGTGGCTGTTCACATGACAAACGATGTTTATCTATAGTGTTATTGATTATTAGAGGAGCAACTTGTTTTTAAGCGGAGGTAAGTTAGCCCCGGTGTAAGCTAGCAGAAGTAGCTTTCATCAGGATAAGTTGGTGAAACTATTCTTTGTTAGACGGTTCGTTTATAATAATTCACTGTCGGTGTGTAACAGCGGACTCAGACACGATGTCCAGCCGGTTCTTTCAGATTCCGTTTGACAGGTGTTGTGTTGCTGTTAGCCTCCTTTACTCAGAAGATTGTTTTTAGCTAGAGAAGAGACAGGGGTGGGGTGTTAATAATGTCGGGAAATAAATACCACCGAAGCTTTTTAATATCAGGAAGTAACAACGCGTGAATGTGATTATGTAAGTAAACAAAAAAACTGGAAATGACCCATGAACTTTAAGATGGTTGTGTGGGAGAGAGTCAACAGAGGCTCACTATTGACTGACCGTGATTGCCTGAGTTTACTGAGGGCCAACGGTCGGAAAACAAACTCTTTCTTTGACTAAAAACAATTTGATATCAAAGTCTGAGCATCCCACAACAAATATTTCAACACTATTACTAAACAGCTGGCTGCTGGGTTTTAGATCCTGCTTTATGGGCCATCATAAGTTCATCCCTGTAAACAATCTAAGACTTCTCCTCAGCGTGTTAATGTTTTATATTAACAGTATTATTGCCAGTAAAAGGTTTCAACTTGCCTGTAAGACCTTTGCTCTTTATTTTCACAGCAAAATAAAAAACAGAGTTACCTTGCCAAAAGCTCGGAGGTTTTAAAGATGAGTCAGACTAACCCAGTGATTCTCAAGTCCAGTCCTCGAGGCCCACTGTCCTGCATGTTTTGGATGTTTCCCTGCTCCAACACACCTGATTCAAATGATCAGCTCGTTATTAAGCCATTACAGAGCTTGATAACGAGCTGATCATTTGAATCAGGTGTGTTGGAGCAGGGAAACATCCAAAACATGCAGGACAGTGGGCCTCAAAGACTGGACTTGAGAACCAGTGGACTACCCTATATGCACAAATAGTCTCTCTTAACCACACCGGTCTCTCTGATGTGACAAGCTTGACACAAATCTAACAACAGAATAGCATCACAATGCATCACACAAGTATTTCTGTCTCCTACATCTCGTAAAGTTCACTGTTGTGAGGTGAGAAGAGACTGCAAACAAAGAAGCATAAGCACATCCACTTCCAACTATGTTACTCCACTTTTCTGAATGCAGACACATGTTTTCTCCTCTGCCTTCATCAGGAAAGAGGGTTAGTCATGATCAACAGTTTTGCCCCCTTTGTTGCAGGAGGGAGTTTCCTGTCTCACCGCAGGAATGCCTGGTGGAGAGTATGGGGAACTCGGGGGGAGCCTCCCCGCCATCGCCTCCTTGAATGCCTCCTACTCTACGTCCATGTCCCTCCCGTCCCCGTACATGCTGATTCCACCTGCAGAGCGCAAAGCCATCTCCGACGTCCGCCGCACCTTCTGTCTGTTTGTGACGTTCGACCTCCTCTTCATCTCTCTTCTGTGGATTATTGAGCTGAATGTGAGTCTGAAACCTGAAGGGTTTAGTCTTGTGGTTATTTTTCAGTTTGGTGACGATGTGCTTTGTTCTGCAGATCAACAGCTCAATCTGGGACAGTTTGGAGAATGAGGTGGTCCATTACAACTACAGGTCTTCCTTCTTTGACATAGTTGTAAGTCTGTTTGTGTTGTTTGGTTGAGCTGCAGATGTTGATCTTATGACTACTTTATTGAAAGAAGGGGAGAAATCTTCCACCTCGTGAAATCGTTCTGCTGTCAGCTGTGTGTTTTTCTCTTCCTTCCTCCTTGTCTCAGCTCCTCGCTGTGTTTCGCTTCCTGTGTTTACAAGTGGGTTACGCTGCTTTCAGGTTGAAGCACTGGTGGGTTATTGCGGTGAGTGAACTCATTCCCAGTTCGACACGTGATGATCGTATGAAGCTAAGCAGGTCAGGACATCTTTTTAACCTTCCTCTCTCTGCAGATTACGACTCTGGTGACCAGCGTCTTCCTCGTTGTTAAGGTCATCATCTCCAATGTGAGTGCACCTGACACTGTGGCATCATTGTGTGTTTGTGTGTGTGTACTTTTATGGTTTTATAGCTTCATGCACCTCAGTAAAACATATTTACTTTTTCATTTGACGGACGGTTTACAGTCCTCATATCAAACATCAGGGAAGTGAACCAGCTGCTACTTCTGTCCTGGAAGTGTATCAGCCTTTTTGCTTCTTTCACAAGCTTCAGGGTGACGTCTTTTCTGTTTATAGCTCCTGTCCCAGAATGCATTTGGCTACGTGCTCCCCATCACTTCCTTTGTGGTGGCCTGGTTGGAGACCTGGTTCCTGGACTTTAAGGTCCTCACTCAGGAGGCTGACGATGACAGAGGTGAGAGAGATTCTTGACAAGTTTGAGACTGACTTGGCAAAAATCTGTTTGAACTTAAAAACAACTTCCTGTGATGTCAGCCTACCTAGCGGCGGTGAACGCAGCCTGCGAGCGAGCTCCCATGATCTATCCCCGAGCAGTTTCAGATGGACAGTTCTACTCTCCTCCCGAGTCCATGGCAGGTGATGTCTGCTCGTCTCTCTAGATCTGATTGTTATTATTTTGTGCTGAGTCAGGGGTAGTTTGTGCCTCATGTTCTCTTTGTGTCTTCAGGCTCGGAGGAGGATCTGGACGAGGAGGGGCTTGGACGCAGAGCAGTCACAGCTCAGGTACCTGCTTCAGTCCGAGGGGTCTCTGTACTCTCCTCTTCTGATCACAACTGAAGATCATTTATTTCCTCCTCTGACTCTCTCACCAGGAAAAGGAGTTTGTCCGGCAGGGCAGAGAGGCCATGTCTGTGGTAGAGCAGATCCTCAGCCAGGAGGACAACTGGAAGTTTGAAAAAAACAATGTGAGTGTGTGAATCAGCTTCAGCTAATATGAATTTATTCAGTCTTTGTTAGGTTGCTGTAAAACACATCAGCCTTAGAGCTCTCACAGGTGGTGGAAACCTCAACGTTTAGGTATTTGAATCCAGGAAAACTCTGACTTAGAAACATCTGACTGTGTTCTGACAACATTATAACTCTGGAGACGACTTTGGCTGTAAAATCGACTATTAAAGTCCCATTCAGATTGTTTTTAGTTCACTATTTGAAGTGTTCTCAGTGGTATTTAAGTTGTGATTATAAAGTTTATAGCCAAAGTCATGTTACCTGTGTCATTTTCAAGGGTTTGTTTGGGTCTGCCAGAGATTCACAGCAATGTGAATGTAGAAATACTCAGAAATGCAATTTTGCACTTAGTTTGCTCATGATATGTCCTGTAGCATGAGAAAAATTCCATACGAACATGTAGACAACAAGAAAAATAGGATTTTTATCGGAGTGGGTCTTCAAAGAAGTGTTCAGACCAAGACTTTGCTTCTGTTGGGAAGTGACAAAACAACTTTTAATGCTTTTTTTTTTGTCTAATGCGAATCACATCCCTGTTGGGTTGCAGAATTTTCAGAGGAATCTGAACTAAGCTGAAACTCAGGGAATGCCCTTTGAGCGCAGAGATTGAAACTTAAAATAAAGGGAACTTACACGTGTGTGAAGAGTCTTTTTGTATGGTCTTTTTTTTGTATGGTTTAGTCTTCCATTGTAAGCATCATGAAACTGACTCTGTTTGTGTTTCTCCTCAGGACATGGGAGACTCCGTCTACACTTTGGAAATCCCTTTCCATGGAAAGACCTTTATTCTGAAGGTGAGCTGCACTGTGTGTGTCTGCTGTGAGTCTGTCACACCAGAACATGTGACACAAATAAACCTAAACCACAGTCTCAGCACTGTAATCACTGTAATTATCAGTAGTTGACATTGATGCCATTTATCATGATTATTCCCATCTCATCTTACTCAGTTTCATTAGTGTGTTTATTTACAGGATTAGTTTGATCCATGGATTGAGGGAACTGTTATTGACTTATTTTATTTCGTTCTTTAAGGGACCCTCAGCAGTATTAAACAGAAGTGTTGTTGCCATTTGATGAAAGCTAATTTACATCTGCAGTCCCTTGCTAATTAGCACAGGCTTTGTAGTATTGCTTATAAAATCCTGTCAAAGTGATTGAAGTTCACTCTGGTGGAGCTGTGAGGGTGTGAATGAGCTCTTAAGTGCACAGTGATCAATCAATCAATCAATCAGTCTTTATTTATATCAGGAATGTTCCCAGCGATTAATTTCACTGACGTTTAAACAACCATTTTGAAACCGAATACACGAAAATGAATTAACTCCCAGAAAATAGCCCAAATTGAGCACATGTCGATCTATTAAGCCAGATATCATCTGAAATAAATATTGAGAGTACATGAAAGCCATGCTTATAATATTAAAATATGTTACAAAAACTTATTTTAGCGATGGAGAATGACATAAAGTACGTGAAAGATTAAAGCAATTGAGCTTCGCTCCGCTGCACTCAAGCCAAGCAGCCACTTGTGTGCCATCTTTATTTAAATCAAAATACTTCCAAACTTTGCTCTTTTTTCTCCCCGACATCGCTCTGGCTGATCGCATGTGTTGATTCACTCTGAGAAAGTTAACCCACGATGCAATGCATGCTGCAGGCCAGCGCTGCGAGCCCAGAGCAGCGAGCCAGGCGGAAAGAGTCGCACGCAAATGAGCCACACATTTCAGCTTGTTTAATGCACGCTTTTATTAAGACATGACGGTAAAAACGTAATTTAAAAAAGAAACCTTTTTTTTTCGCTTTTTTTCTTTTTTTCCCCCTTTTCTTTTTCTGTTTTTTTAATAGAATAAACGAATATTATTTACTAAACGGATAGTAAGGACAGCCCCGTTTACACAAATATATCCGAATAACCGCGCACATCCCTAATTTATATAGAACTTTTCATACAAAAGCATTCTCATTCCCACCACACGATCTAAGTACAACAGAAATATGTATAAAAATGCATGAACTTGAAAAGGGCTCAATTTCATAGAAACAGGAATGTGCCCACTGAGGAAACGCCTTTTTTAAAATTAAGGTAAGGAAACACTAGAGGTTTATGTTTAAATCTAAAATCAAAGTTACATAAAATGAAATTTAGAAATAATAAATAAAATAAAATGAAATAAAAAAAACAGTAAAAGATAATAAAGTAAGAGCACCAAAATAGCTCCATAAAAGATGATCCTAACATTTAAACTAGAAAGAGATAAATGCTAAACACTTAATCAGAGTTAATGATATAAAATTTAGTTAAAAGCGAGACTAAAAAAAAATGATGGAGTAACCGAGATCAATGAGGGCTTGAATTAGGTCAGGTATTATAAAGATTTCCTGGTCCACTAATGTCAGAGCGAGTGGAGTCATGTTGTTAAGGTGTGTTTCACTTCTTTAGAGCAGAGGGGATCCACAAGTTCACAATCAGAAAACAAAGGGACATCATGAAAGTGAAATGAAGAAAACTCCCATTGTGTAATAAGACCTGCTAAAAATGAGATTGTATGTTATTCAGTGTAGTTGAATTAACCAAAGTATTCATAATTAATTAAAACAGAATAAAATTAGAAATCATAGCAGTGACATAAGTTTGAATGGGTTATTATTGTATCTGTCGTTAAAGGATTAAATTCAGCCTCCTGAATATAAAGTCTATCCTCTGCTCTTCATATCCATTTATAAATTAAATTCAAATTAAAATGACTCTTAAACCACATGTTGATCAGCTTGACTCATCACAGCCTCCGCTCACTGTTTACACATTAGTTTTACTTTTTGTTACACAGAGAGAGTTATTGACAGTGGTTTCCATGGCATTAAACAAGACGGAAATATCACTCTGATTTGTTAAGAAATTACACAATAACTTTTGTCCAAACAAAAGCCCAGTATGTCTGAAGAAGGAACCACAACACTGCAGGGTTTTTCCAGCCGGACAATGATTGACTAGCTGAATATGTCAGATCATGTGGTCAAGATTGGGCCTGAACAACAACGTCTTTTCTTCCCATTTCCCATCTTTTTTACGCCGTTCTCCAGGTTGTGTGAACTGTATTTTCATTGCTCCTGACTCACAGCCATGCGCTTGTTTCTGCTGCTTTGTCTTCAGGCCTTTATGCAGTGCTCTGCTGAACTTGTGTATCAAGAGGTGATTCTGCAGCCGGAGAAAATGGTCCAGTGGAACAGGACTGTGTCTGCCTGTCAGGTGACAGCTGCAGCTTCTTCTGCCATCTTTTTGTCACCTTTCTCATCGTGTGTGTGTGTGTGTGTGAATACTCTAAGTCTAATGGTCGTGTCCCCCTTTCACCTTAGATCCTTCAAAGAGTCGATGACAACACTCTGGTGTCATACGATGTCTCAGCAGGAGCAGCTGGGGGAGTCGTGTCTGCTCGGTATAGCCATCTTCTCATCTCTGCTTCTCTTTTCTGTCTTTTTATCTTTTTTTGGCATGCAGACTGCGAGTCTAAATGAGACACATTGATTGTCTGATTGATTTTCTCCCTTCAGGGACTTTGTTAATGTTCGGAGGATAGAGCGTAAAAAGGACTGCTACCTGTCTGCTGGCATGGCAACCGACCATGACGCCAAACCTCCAAGCGGTCGCTATGTCAGGTCAGACTCCACCTCTCACAGGGCTTCTTGTCTCCGATCCAGTAAATTAGAACATCGATTTGACAAAAGTGTGTTAGTTTTCTTTTCATAACTTTTGTGTCTTTCTCTGTGACCTCAGGGGAGAAAATGGCCCAGGAGGATTTATAGTCCTCAAATCCAGCAGTAACCCATCAGTCTGCACCTTTATCTGGGTCCTAAACACAGACTTGAAGGTGAGAAGATAAACCTGCAGCTGAACAGACTGGAAACATTAAACCTCCTGGTTTGTAATGAACACTTTTGTGTCTCCTCAGGGTCGACTTCCTCGCTACCTCATCCACCAGAGTCTGGCTGCCACCATGTTTGAGTTCATGACTCATCTACGCCAACGCATCTCTGAGCTGCGGCCTTCTCTCCGCTCCCACCACCATATATAAAACAGAGGAGCCGTCTAAGCTAACCGTAGCTGGATGAGAGATCTCACTGCAGGTTTCTCTAGGGGCGCAGCAGGACCCCTTTGAGGCTTTTAAAGCTGAAGCCATGTGCGGACTGTAGCTGAGAGGACTTAATCCAAGCACCTGTGATCGCACATTCAGCGCATGTGAGTCACAAGAGAAGAGGAGTGATTCAGTAATCAAAAAGGAAGTATGATTTTATGTGGACCTGTGGTCTCTCACTGTGCAATGAGAACTGTGTATCCTGATCCTGCCGAGTCATTGGCTGCAGGGTGGACATTACTGAAACAAGAAAACAGATGAAGTGATTCTCGCTGGGTGGGCGCCTGTCTCACTTGTTACAAAGAAGTCATCCTGCAGCTGTGGCATGAAGTAGCTGTCTCTCTGAGCCTTATCTCTTGTCTGCCTTTTTTACTCCCTCATTCTTTTCACTCTTTTGGTTTGATTTTTTTCTGTGCATGTTTTTTTTTTTTTTTAAACGTGCCTCTGGTGCACAGATATACTCTTCACATTTGAATACGTAAGAGCCAACTCCGCACAGTGTATCCTGCTTTACTACACTGTGTCAAATGAGGAGGAAAGTCATCTGACCACCACTGGAGGGAGACACCACTGAACTGTACAGTGAAAGCCTCATGGTTTTACATCTTCCCTCAAAGCGAGGGGGTGAAAACCTCTCTACTAACACGTTGTGAATTCACTCAGAGTTTCTGATGCTGTTTTTTTTTCATGCCAGAAGGCTCATAGTCTGTGTCACAAATGCATTATCATGCTTGGTTCATATCATGCTGTAGATCATAAATTAGTATCAAGAGCTCGTTCTGTGTGCCAATAACCTGAAGTGCCCTTCTGTTAAAACAGCATAACTGATTCATTGTCAAACATTATTACTGTTTACTGACCTAACTTCCTTTTGACTGCAGTGCTTATGGCCCTGACTGGGGGGTTTTTCTACCACGTCTTGCTTCACACATCAGAGTTTTCTTTTTAAATCATTAAAATTTTGCGTCTAGCTTGTGAATTAGTTTTGCTTCAAAGTTCTCACCTCTGAGACAAAATGGTATATGAAGTGACCCTTTCAGTGGGCCCAGGGTCATGGTGTTGTGGTTCAGAATACTGTAGAAGTGAACCAAAGAGAGTGATTGTTCTTCCGTCTACTTTCTTTGAAAAGTCACACTTCAAATGGAGCATCTTCATGGGTGTAAACCTGATGCTGTGAGTGAGAAGGGCTCATTTATCACATCATGAGACGGCCACATGGCACTGGGGTGTTGTACTTTGTAAGCACAGGTATTTGCCGGTGCTACAATCACAGTCAGAAATGATTACGATTACTTCATAGAGACCTAATATTTTGCTGTTGAGATTGATTTTAGCTTCATACTGTAAAGAGGGAGTTTCAAATGAAGGTGATTCACGATATCAAGCATTTGGGGCCTTTATCAGAGTTGAATTACATCTTCAACTTCCTTTTTTCTTTGCGTTTTTTAAAAGTGTTTAATCAATGTTTGATTTATTCAGTAAAAATGTACTAAATGCATATGATGTGGAGCCTGCTCGTTATTACTCATTTTCTGTTTTCTGTCATTAAATCTGTGAATGTATGTATCTATATGTTTTAATTTAAAGCCATCACACACAGGAATACTGACCAACACTTTCTCAGTCTTAAATGGTGTCTTATGTCTAATAAAATATACAAACTCATGATGGTGTTTGAAAAACTCTCGTTTCTGTTAATGTCTCCCTGTCACGGACAACAGCAAATGAGCCCATCTGTGTCATGAGAGTGTTGATGGAGCAGTAGCACCCTTTAATCTGAGCCTACAGATTTATCTATATTCACAAAGCTTTACCAGAGTCCCTTTACTCCAGAATTCAGTCTGACTCTTTGAAGTTGGTTGTTAATGTGATGGCTTCTGAACTCTGTAGACATTGAAGCAATCCTTACAAACAGCTCTAATAACCATGTTTTTACAAACTAACAAAGTAATGTGAATAACCTCACACGAGAGAAAACATTGGCCCTTTAATCGATCCAGTCATGGTGCACCGGCTCCAGACCCTGTCATTAAACCTACTGTTGAGGAGGTTGATAGTTGTCCCCAGGGCAGAACACAAAGCTGGAGCAGCTCACATGATAGTGCTGTGACTGTCTTCTGAGGCGATGGTATTGTGTGTGTATTCGTGTGTGTTTTAAAATCAATGACCAGGCAAGCGTCTGACTTCTCTCGGTTTTCCCCCAGCTGGTGAGAAGCACCATTCCCCAGGTCACCATCCGCTTGAGCTCCTCCACAAGGATAGAGTCCATTCCCTGTTACCCTGTACTGGATGAGGAACCACATTGGGGTCCTGGGAAAATGGGAAGATGAAAACCAGGTAGACTTTGGGGACCAGTGAGAGTCTTTTTGAAACTTTTTGACCTGCTTTCTTTTTTTGGATTTACTACTGTGCTGTGAGCACCAACTACCTACTGACTTATGCAGGATGGGTTCAGCTTTTAAGAGGTTCTGCAGTCTGTTGTGCTGCTGCTGCTGCTGTGCTGGTGATGAAGATGATGAAGATGAAAAGCAACCTTTAGTACCGTAAGAAGGCACACAGCAAGAAACAATCAAACTCTGCCATATTACACTCACATGCTGAGCACTCTCACTGATCTCATCTACATATTAGTGACCTCCTTGAGAAGAGTAGGATCAATCCAAAATGACCTTATCGTGTTTACAGTGTTTGTTTCTGATACCTACTTTGCTTTCGGATGCATTTGCTTGTGTGTGCACGTGTGTGTGTGTGTGTTGGCTGACCACACAGTCAGGATCCATTAGAGTATTTCAACCGGGAAGTCCAGAAGCGACGAGATGAGGAGGCCAACTTGTGGAGTGAGCCTGGAGACCCCAGCCACTCAGAGAGGACCGACGACCGGGTCCTTTACAGCCTGCTGCAGGCCAGAAACAAGACCCGCAGGGGATCTACGGTGGGTAGTGGCGCGTTTACTTTATAAAGTTGCTTTCTATGAGCCCTACATGGCTGGAAAAAAAAATCAAAATGAGACTAAAAGAGCGTTTAAAGCAAAAAGAACTGAATGTGAGGCAATACACAGAAATATATGTTGATGTGGTGCATAAGTGTGAGAAAAGTGCAAGATATAAGAAATGTGACTGATATGTCCTCTTCTGTCTTACTGAATTGTTATGATCTGTTGTGACAAAATGACTAAAAGAATAGACATTTCATACTGGAATCAAAGACTTGTTTTTGAAGCTCTTTTTCCGTGTTCAGGGCTATCGGCGTCTGAGTGTGGACATTGAGGCCATGAGAGATACTCGCCGGGAAGTCAGAGACAAATGGAAGACCATCCTGGAGAACTTAGGTAAAGCAGGCAGGGTTAATTGCTTGACCAACTGTCTCTTTAAAGGCTTCATTAAAGCTAATGGTTGCCCTTTTGTTTAGGTTTTATGGCGGAGGCGGACTCTCTGCTCACAGTGTCTGCTGGAGCCTCATATGACCGTATGCATAAGGCCTCTGCAGCACGTGCCATGCTTGATATGCTCCACACTGAGACCTCCATCTTTAACAGCAGAGAGCCACCACCAGAAAGATATCTATTCATCCTGGTGAGTGGGGGGTGGGGGTCACTTGAGCTGAACTGAAATCTAAATTCTCATCATGTTGTGAGCTGTAGCTTTAGGCAGAATCAAATAGGACTTTGTGTCTTAATCCTTGTGCTACTGAACTCACAAAGAGTTTCATGCTCTAAACAAAAGAGGCTCAGGTTTTGGTGCCATTGAGAAAAAAAGGACCATGACCTTTGACATCAAGATCAGTATTATGTAAGGCTTGGGTTTGATGGGTGTCAGATGTCATTGATGGGCTACTGGCTGTGTTGTTGGTATGTCTAAATTTCTACTGTTTGGAAAATAGAGGTTCAAATCATTCACAGAAGACTCCATACAAAAGGACATTGTACGTTACAACTATTACAATAAATAAACCAAATTCAGAAAGATGAACTCTGAATTTGTACCCTTCTTGTTCCAAAGTACACTCTGATATTTTAACACCCATATCTTGAAAACAGCCACATTTATTTCCCCCGCTTTGGCAATATTCTCTACTTCTACACCCTCTTCACAGGATCGCCTCCTGTACCTGGATATAGGTGAAGACTTTCTGGCAAAAGCAAAGCGTTTCTATCCACCGAAGGAAGACTCTGACGAGGAAACCCCAGGTCTCTCCATAAACCTACCGCTGCTCCTGGCCAGGGTAGAACAAGCCATGAATGGACGGGAGGATGAAGACGAAGAGGATCGACGGGAAAGAAGAGATGGAAACTTGAGTGACTGATCGTAAGATCCACTGGGTGCAATAATAACAGACACAAACAGGGGGCAGTAGTTACCAACCCTGGAGACCATGATAGAATCAGATCACTATTTCTTCTGAATGTTTGTTCCCTGTTGCCGTGTTGATTTTGTATTTTTTTAGGCTTTTCTTTTCTCCCACGATTGCACAGCTTGAGTCTTCTTTTGTTTTCCATGCATGAAAGTTTGCAGGGCCGAGCAGATTCTGAAGTAAACAGAGACGTTTTCTCTCTCTGAGGCCTCTGCTCTCTCTCTGCCATGGTGTTTATCAAGTTAGTACCCTGTTCTTTGTTCAGCTGTTGTTAACCTTCAGGGTATGATGATACATTGAACAGAGCCTTTTATATTTTGTCATGTGATGATCAGCATTCATCTGATTCAATCACATGGCCATTAAAACAGTAAATAAAAAGCCCCGTAGTCAGATGTCAGTTTATTTTACATGCACATGTGTGCAAAAATACTTAAAACTTATTCAGTTATCTCTGTAATCAGGATTTGACACTTTTGAAAAAGAGCTAATGAAAAGGTGTTGTGGTTGGTACAGCATGGGGAAGTTTTTTGCAGTAGTCAAAAGATATAAGATTTTTTAACTCATGCATGAGTATGTATGTTCAGGTGTCCAGTTCAGGATGATGTAAAGCCTATGCTATGTTTTGCGTTTGGTATCATATGTTGGAATTATGTCTGTCTGCTGTAAGTGAGTACAAGCTCTGAGTTACCATAAAATAATACAGAATTTAAAAATTGTCATAAATTGCACGGTTTACTGCAAACTGAAACTCCAAAGAATTGGCTGTCATGTGAAAATTAAACAGTGGCTCCCGTGAAAATGTGGCACCAGAGCATCATTCCTTTGAAGTGAATCAGGAGGCTCCTTCAGTCTGGACTTTCACGCTCACGTGGCTGACCAGCTGTGTATTCATGGTTGGCTTTAGTTCTGATCTGCAAATATACCAAAAGTCCTGGCCTGGTACAGTCTGCCTGGTGTCTGATCATCCCACTGGGGCTGGACCAGGCTGCATGATGGGTCTGGTGTTTCGGTAGTCAGCTGTTTGTTGTTGTTGATACTGTTATGTAAGGGGGTCTGTCTCATTAGGGCACATGTTTGAACACAACACAAATAGCTGGTCACACTTAGCAGTCCGTGAGTGAGGGTGAAGACAGCTTGCAGGAATCAACAGAAACTTGCATCCAAACAGGCTCTTGTAGGAGGCTCCTCTTTTGGGAAAATATTTGACTTACTTAAACTTGCGCAAACACAGTATTTTGATTTATTTACCTCCTCCTGACCGGCCCCAGCTTCAATCTGCAGTCTACCTCCCACTCCTGGTCCCCTCCTCGGTGACAGCTCATTTAATGTCATTTCCCAGCAGCTGTGGCAGGGTTATTACGCAACACCAAGTTCTCCCTGTCCAGGTCAGGCTTAGTGTACGGGAGAGAGGGTTGATCTACGTGACAGGGCTAACCTCATCCCAGTTCACCTCTACAGATCCTCTACGCCGCTGCCTTTATTAGCACAGCATGACTCATCCGCTTGATGTCCGTCTTTCAGTTTTGGCTGGTGAATAACTCAAACAAATTAAAAGAATGACTTTGTTTGATGACTTCTTCTTAGTGTGGCTACTTTTTCAACACTTACAAATCATGTTTTCAAGGCTGCGATACCGTAAAATGACTCAGCACACGACTCCTGGGATGCCTCTGATGTTCTTGCTTTCTTTTCTCTTTTTAGCATCAGGCAATAATTTACAGTCACAATGAAGACCTGTTGAAAAGTCACAGCCAGCAAAATGAGGAATCGCTGACAGCTCAAGTAATTTACTTGACAAGTGACATAGCTGTTACATAAGAAATACACAGAGTTCATAGCAACTAGATTTACTATTATTTAGCTATGAACAATATCTGCAGGTTTTCTGTCATAATCCAGCAAAGGTTCAGTACACGTGAAGCTAATAATAAACACATTTACCGACAGTGAGGATGGTAAGACCTCTCATCATTAGGACACACACTTGGTGCTGTGTGTGTCAGATCTGATTTCTGTTATCTGATGATGCCATTTCCTGATGTGGATGAATGAGTCAGACAAGGAACTGGTGGTAACATCACACCTGTCAGAGGTAAGTATGTGGAGTGAGTGGAGTGTGTGCGGTATGTTTCACAGCCTGTAACCGGAGTTGATTATGGTGTGCACGGTGCTCTGTCACTGAGATAATGAATCACTGGGGAGGCAGCTCTCACTGCCACTGCGCTATAATGGCTTCTAATGAGAGGGTTTGATGTTTTCACAACACACATTCCCCTGTACAAACTCCATCTGAGCTGAATTAGAGTTTAAATTCAGTCTGATACTTCATGAAGTTCTCCAGATTGTCACCTCTTATTACATACGGCTGAAAGTTCCTTAACCTACATGCCTGAAATATCCTGTTTATGAAACAGCAGGATCAATGTTAGCTCTCCACATTAGCAAGATGCCTCTGCTTATATACATCAGGACCAAATCCTTTTTAAGATTCTGTCTTTGATCAAATCTATTGTCTGTCTACATGTTTATGAAATCAAAGAGTGTCTCCAATACTTTAATCTCTAAGACACTTTGATCCTAGCTGGAGTGGAAAGGTGACTTGGCATACAATTTCAAAAACAGGGGATTTTCCACGCAATTACTCTCAACCCCTCCCCAGAGAGGCCTCCAGCACTCGAGATTGAGACACGGAGAACTTGGTGTCAGATGTCAGCATACACTGATTGTGGAGTGACAACATGGATCAGAAATAGAAACAGAACATCTATAAAAGCTGTGAACAGATCCAAGCCCAGGCACAGATAGCGCAAAGAGAGTACGAGAGCGCAAGCCAGAAGATACAGCCAGCTGGAGCATCACTGAATCCTAAACCAACAGCCTCATCATCACAGGGACATCAGCAGACCGCAACAAGGCCTTTCAGAGGTGATATCCTGAGATAGATCATACACCACAGCAGAGACAATGCCGATCTGTACCATCCTGGAGAAGAGCAACGGTGTGGTGGTGGGAGCAAAGCTGAGCTGTAGCGTACGAGAGGAGAACAGGGCAAACAGGGAGAGCTACAGTGCTGACTGGCAAAGTGTCAATCTCAAGACTCAACCTGAAGAAAGGTGAGCACTTACTGACCAACCAGATTGCCTTCTTTAGGCTGTGTCATCTCTGATTAAAGAGGGAGACGTTCAGATTTTTTTTGGGTGGTTGATTTATTCAAATACTGGATGGTAGCTAGTCTTCAAAGTTTCTGACATAAACTTTTCTCTGATACCCACAGGCAGATGATGAATTTTGATGACAAATCTCGGAGGGAGACCCTGGCCCGGCAGTGGCAAGCCCGTTCCCTGAAGCAAAACTGTCCCTCTGGTGTTTTCAGAGTGGGCACTGTGGAAAGAGGGGTGAGGGAGCACCAGCTGCTGCCCAAGAGGAACACCCTCCCTCTGCCCATCTTCACCCCTGCAGAGCTTGGAATCAGGCTTGGACGTGGAGCCCCACACACAGAGGAGGACCTGAAGCCCTTCCCCATCCCAGATGGAGCCTGTCCCAGCAAGAGGACCATGGATGAGATCACCAGGGACCTGCCTCCTGTCAAGCCAACGCTCATGGAGTTCGCAAAGGAAACCAGGGACCTGGGCCGCTCTTTGTCCCAAGAGGCCCAGAGAGGGTGAAAAACAAAAAGAACTGAAAGAGGAAGAGGGCAAGTTCAGGAGAGACGAGAGGGGTGACAGTTGTGAAAGGATAGTCATTGATCAGAGTGTGTCAGGAAAGAGCATGATGAGGTGTATATAGATTTATCTCCACTGACATTCATTGAAAAACCCTTAAAAACGTACATCTTTTGAGCGATGTTTCTTGGTGAGCACAGCACCTGGCAAATATCACACTTTGCCACTGATGGCATGTGGTGGTCAGTATGAAGGCATTTGCATTGTGATGGCGAGACGGGGTGTGTATTCTCAGCTGTGCCATGGCCTGATCTCTGTCTGTGCTGGCCAGCTGGCATCAGCATATCTGCTGGTCTTTGAAAGGGAGACAGACCAATGCTGCATAAAATTAAAAAGAGCAGATATCATTTAAGGGTAAATGAAAGTGTTCCTAAGGTTACCAGTTTCATCATTATACTTTTAGTTGATGGTAAAGATATGAAACGATGCAGAAAGTGAAGGTGGAAAATAATGAGCAAAAGAGAGCCACAGATTTTGAACTGTATAAATGGATTAAAAGAAAGAAAGACCATCAAAGGGAAAGGAAGGGGTGAGGGTTTGAGAATCATCCGGGCCTCTGTAGTCTCTAATCATTGTGCAGGCTACAGAGAGCTCTAGCATGTCCACATGATGCAACTGTACAGATGTGTGTGTGTCCATCTTTGAGTGTGTGTGTCACCTCCAATGAGTAGGATTTGGAAAAACTAATAAGCTATTCTTTACTGAGTTACTTTACTACCTGCCTTTTAGTAGAGAGGCACATGTGATAGATGAACTAAAACTGTACCAGCTGAGAATACAAATGAGAATGAACTGTGTGCATTTATGTATATTTTTAGAACATATTTTTACTAATAAAAGCTGAGATGCTCTTCACTCTTCTGCCTCCCATTTTCTTTCATGAGCGTGCAACACAAGCATTTTCCGATTACAGTTAGGTGGGTGGAAAAAGGTTGATAGCACTGTTTATTTTTGATTGTTGTGACGGATCAAGCCATCAGGCAAATAAAAGAGTTAGTTTCACTTAATTACATTTTAAGAAGCCAGTAACCGAATAAAGAGGGAATAAAATGAGGAAAAAGTGCATTACAAGGCCAAAAATCACAGGTCAAATGCAAATAAATGAGCAGAGACTAAAACCTAACTAAACAAACATAAAGATGTTCCTTTAATAGTTCCATGGGGGGAAATTCCCCCCAAAAATTGGGTAAAGTTTTCAATTAGCAATAATCGCACATCGGATAAACCTCAAAGGCTACGATACTGCACTGTGCAAAGCTGTAGCATTGAAATAGCGGGTATTTGATTGTTATATGAATTTGTTTTGTTCTGCCATAATCTGACTTATTTCCTGATACATGTTGTAGGCCTAACTAGCTTTTCAGTAAGCAGCAAAACTCAATCTTATTTCTCCCTAATAAAGTAGACCAAGTATGATTGTTACATCTTTTTCTTCAGCAAATGTAATTCACTGAATTTTTGAGCTATTTATGAGTTACAGTTATCAACTTTTTGTACAAAGTGGGCTACACACTTGTTCACTCCAAATCTGGCTTTTTAAAACTTCTGCAAAATTTTTTAGATTGCACCTGAGGAAGTTCAGCTCTATCAGAAAAAAAGGCAACCCCCCCCCCCCCCCCCAAAAAAAAAAAAAAAAAAAAAACATTGCAATTTGCCTGAAAAACCACTTATCAAATCATCGTCATGATGTACAGTACAGCCCAAAAGTTTGGACACACCATCTCATTTAATGCATTCTCTTATTCTCATTACTATTTAAATTGTAGATTCTCAGTGAAGGCATCAAAACTATGAATGAACACATATGGAATCATGTGCTTAAGAAAAAAAGTGTGAAATAACTGAAAATATGTATTATATTTTAGATTCCTCAAAGTAGCAACCCTTTGCTTTTCTGATAGCGCTGCAAACTTTTGCTGTTCTCTCAATGAGCTTCATGAGGTAGTCACCTGAAATGGTTTTTACTTCACAGGTGTGCCTTGTCAGGGTTACTTTGTGACTGACAGAGTCATTCACTAAGTACTTCTGCCATCAAGAGCAAAGAAACTGGAATAAAAAAAATGTTTTCTGTTATTTCACACTTCTTTTATAAGTACAAAATTCTACATGTGTTCATTCATAGTTTGATGCCTTCAATGACAATTTACAGTGTAAATAGTCATATAAAAAAAATAAAGAAAAGACATTGAATGAGAAGGTGTGTCCAGACTTTTGGCCTGTACTGTATGTAATTTTGCCTCAAACTCACTTTTCTATGTCACTTTTCTTTTTCAATGCACTCGTTCCTTGTCTTGAAAATCCTCATGTGGATTTGGGGAGAAAGTGGGTAAATGTAGAGAGGTGATATCAGTTGCATGTTAACATGGGCTGAGTATAAGCTAAATTAGAAAATAAAAACAGGGACCCCTATAATTTATTTTTATTTATGCATATTTATTTTTCCTAGTTTCACTTTTATGATTTTACAGTAGTTCCCGTTTCAAAGGTATCTATTCCACATCCATCCACTAGAGGGCAGAGTGGCGCTGGTGGCATAGAGTAGCGTTAGAGCACAGCATTTTTCGTGAAGCAGCCATACAGATAGGTTTTGTCATGTTTAATTTAATGGCAAAAGGATTTTCTATAATTTTACAGCTCTGGTTACTGCCATGTTTGACGAATAAGATTGAAACTGAAAACAAGTGTTTGATACTCTGTTTTGATACCCGAAGTACATTATGTCCTCTTATGTTGAGAATAAATCTTCCCTCTGAGATGACAACAGCAGCTCAACGTGTGTCTCTTCTATTCTTGCCACAACATTTCACCACACGTTGAGACACCAGAAAAAAACACTATACAGTTGTCCACCTAACTACCAAGGCAGCCTGGGCAACATAAACACTGAAATGATCATGTGACTCTGTGTTATTCCTATTTGGTGGCAATCCCATGTTACTACTCTCCTTCCTGTCCCCCATAATATCATCTGCCTCTGCTAGGCTTGACAAAAATCTGAAGTTTGTGCTACAACGAAATGTGACTGACAGCAAGAAAATAAGAGAAGATCTGAGTGGAAGTCAAGAAAAATGTCAGCTTGATTAAAACAGCTTAGCTAAACAGCACGGACAGTAGGGGAGAGTGGGGTAAGTTGGACCAAAGGGTAAGTTGAGCCACCCCCTGTTGCTTGGAAATGGTCAAAGAAATTTATCATGTGACCAAATATTTAGGAGATGGGCATCAATTCATGGAGTCTGTGAAGGTTAGAAGCACATGGGTAAAGGGGTTAGACATTTATTTCCAAAAATACATTTTTCACTCTTGAAAGTGAATTTAATCTGTTTTTAAGTTTTGTTAGAAATGTGTTCAGACCAAAAAAGATCATTTTAAATATGTTTTATACATCAACTGCGGTATCTATGAGCTACAACATCAGGTCCAAAAAAATATTTTTCACTCTTGTAAGTGAATTTAGTCTGTCATTCTGTTGGTTTGCAGGGATGCACAACATCTTGAAATGTATGCAGATACACTAGTTGGAGAGAAAACTATGACTGCCTTGATGTAGTGATCCAAAATATGAAAAATGGCTCATCTTACCCCACTCTCCCCTTTTATGTTCTCAAAACTTTCTTAAATCCCTAAGCAATTTCATTAAAGTGAAGGTAACAGACTTTATTACACTTTTTACGGAGCTGTTGGAAATAAAGAAGACACAGAGAGGAGTTTAAAGATAAATTTGGAGATGAGGAAAAATTAGGAAACTTAATTACACTGAGAATTTACCAGACTGGATGAAATAGCTGATCGTTAGTATGCCATAACAAACAGCTATCTCCTCTCTCTGAACACTCTCCACTCCCCTCTTCACTCATTTCCCTCATTTAACTTTCATGTTCTACCTCCAGAGTCTCTCCTCTACTAAAAGTCTGTGCCTGCATTAGTGTACACACTGCTTTGACTTTTTCTAAATCTTTGGTTAATTCGATCTTATTTGATTGATCAGCTATTACTTCTGATCAGCATAGCTCCGGTGTTGTTCCTCTGATGGATATATTTGTCCCTTTAATCTCGTCGTACCCACTGTTCCTCTCTCTCTCCTCTCATCACTCTTGTGTCTCAGTGACAGGCGGCGCGTGGTGGTTTGATATTAATAGCTGAGTAAACATTGCCATTGCCCTGGAGACAGTGGAAACAACCATATTGGCATGGTCCACACATGTGAAGTTTTAATCCCCATGTTTTATCAAAGATTGGGGTGTTCTGTGTTCATCTATCTTTAGACTACACCCGCCCACGCTGCTGCTGCTTCTGAGCTTCAGCGCTCCCCTACCCTGCACTGTCACAGTACAATACAGTTTCCAAATGTACTTCTAAACCCTGAAACTATTTTCAGAGGATGCCAAGGAATGTAGGAACTCAGATGACGTGTATTGTCACAGGAGAATCCAGTAAATTAACAATGAAATTCTTTCCTATCCCTCAGCTGTCTCAGCGACATGGTGCTTGCTTTATTATGTTTTATGACAAATTCAGCCTGGCTGCTTCTGCAAGCAAGTTAATTTAAACCAGCTCAACCAAGAATTCAACCTATTCCTCGCCAGAGTTTGAAAAAAACTGAAGTTCCTCCAGTTTTTATTTTATTCTATCAAATCCAGAGTGCATGTAAATGCATGTAATTTCGGTGCTTTTTGTTTTCATGTTTTCATCACTCCCCTTGGTGCCTCCTCTTATCCTTGTGAGAACTCATCACAGTTTATTTAAAGACCAGGTCACATAGTGTTACACAGCAATGGATCTTCTGTGGTGTCACCCTCTTACTACTGTTCCTACAGCAGTATGTTGTGGCCTTTAAACTAACACTGGAACATGCAAAGTGGCTGTAAATACTTGTCAGCACAGAAATTCATCTTGAATTCCTGATATCTGTACTGCATACTGCACAGCCTGTTGACCAGGAGCTACTCTTCTGAACATATGTTGCTGCATCCTACGGGCTAGTTTGTGTAATACAGGTCGAAAAAGCTCGAGTCTGCACCATTAACACATGATATATTTATTTCTTATTTGCTTTTTTTTTTTAAATAAATAACAATTTCCAGTATTTGATGTTTTTTTTTTTTTGAACAAAGGTGTTTATTTGCCGTTATGTTGCAATACAGTTACAAAATATAAGACGTCTCTCAGCAAGCAAACAAACCAGAGTAAAATAATAAGGACATAGAACATCGACACAGAACAGAAAACTAGCACGCAGAAAACAAGCAAAAACAAAATAAATAAATAAATAAATTTGCGGCAAACATATTGAGTGAATTGATACTTTGAATGGGAATACACACGGGGCAGGCTTCGCATTAGGAATTTACAACTTCATCTTACTCAGTATTAGCATAGCTCGTACGTTTACCCTCATGTAGAAAGCTTAAGGTAATGTATCAGTGGGGCCCAGTTTTTTAGAAATGTGTCATACTTCATCTGAAGCATCGCAGTGATCTTTTCCATATTATATACTTTCAGCAACCTCTCATGCCATTGGTTGATTGTAGGTGGTAATGGTCGCAGCCATGATAGGGTTATCATCTTTCTTGCAACCAGTAAGAGAATGTGTAGAATGTGTAACACGTGTTTGTTAACAAACCCCTCTGGAATCGCTCCAATTATATACACTTTTGGGTCTAGTGGCAAGTCTATATTCAGAATAGCTAGTATTTCTCTGCGTATTCCCTCCCAGTATGTTCTCAGTTTAGGGCAATCCCAGAAAATATGGGTGTGGTCACCAATCCCTTTGCAGTCCCTCCAACACAACTCTGAACTGTTTTTATCAAATTTGGATATCATAGAGGGTGTTCTAAAGTATCTCATTT